AGTGTCTCTAGTAATAACATGTGCCAAAATGCAAAAAAAAAAAAAAAAAAAAAAAAAAAGGCCATGAGAATTGTCTCCCAACCACTACGTGACTCACTTCTGAAAATAATTGCATAGCCATAATAGAGTAAATTCTGGATATTGACTTAACCAAAAATTGTGACTTAAATACATTGGGAATGGGGAAGAATGGAAAGAGTGTGCTGAGAAAGGTGAAATCACATAAAAGACAGTGAATCCTAATAGTCTATAGTAGGAAATGATTAGACAAAATGTAAACTAGCAAACAAGAAAGTGTGTTATTTTTTAAAGTGAGTAAAAGTGTGTTATTTTTTAAAAAGGAGAACAAAGTGTTTAATGTGGTATTGCCTCTGAGATATAGTTTTCATAGAATGGAAAAGTTGGCCCAAATAACTGCTTTTTTTTTTTATCATAAGCTATTTGACATCTTAAATTATGCACACAATTATTTTCATAAAAATTAAAATACAATGTAAAAAGACAAAAAGAGATTTCCTGGAGCACAATAGTTCTGTTATAACCGTAAGATTACATATTCAAGAAATTGAATCTGCCCTCAAATGTCTCTAAGTATCTAACAGGAATACGGGCACCTGATTTTTTGAAAAAGTGTCTTTCAAAGGCATAAAGCCAGCCCCCTTATCTTCAGGACCAGATATTCAGTGAAGGTCTATAGGACAACACCCTCAGCCCTAGTAGGTATGATTGGATTTCCACTCTAGCATTCACAGGGCTCAGTGATTACATGTCCTCCTCAAAGAATAGTGGAAAGAGAAAAACACCTCATTGCTGGTGTAGTGTCTGTAATAATCTCTCCCAGCTGCTCTGGGCTGTATCCACAACAAAGGAAGCTTGACTTTGTGCAGCCCTCCAGTCTGTTAACTCTCAGGAACCCATCTATCCATGCCAGCATATATGGACAGGAGCAGAGGTGGGTGAAGGTGGAAAAAAGATGGTGTTGGGATGTTATAAAAAGTCAAGTGTTATCTCACTTAATCTCTTCTTCCACATGTAGGTTATTGTACTTAAAAAAAATCAAAAGTCATGAAAGTGTATATAGAGGAAAGTAGAAGCTCCCATACCCTGTAGTAGGAGGGAATGAATCAAGAAATAGGAAGGCATAATGTAGGGAACGGAAATCAGTGTAAGAAAGGACTAAGGGATTCAACCAGATGACATAAATTGGGATCCCAAAATGACAGCTGTGCACTGGCATAGATGACATCCAGTTCCAATTTGAGTAGTCAAAAAGATCGGGAAGAAATTTCCTCAGGTACAAGATCGGGAAGAAATTTC